TGGACAAAGATCCTATATGCGACCTTATCACAGTGCACATACATATACGCACATGTATACATACATTTCTGTTATGTATGTACGTATTAATCTATGCACGTATAGTATATATGTAAGTATGTAAGTGCGTATTTATACACACATATATACACACATGTATAAATAAATTTTGAATCCGGTCCTGATAACAGTGATTGTTATTTACAGCAAAGCTCCTGAGGCTATCTGCCTAAGGAGAGAACTTTCTGAGGTAATCTCGCTCGTATACACGTTACACGTGGGGAAAACCACGTAAACGTCAGCCCGTTCGCGGGATTCGAACTTTAGACCGAACGACTAGCGTTCAGCGACTTTACTGCTCGGCTACTGGTGGGCCTGGTCCTGATAGCCAAAGAGTATCGTTTAACTTTACATTTTAAATCACCATATGTTGGCAGCTAAAGTATATACTTTCGCTTGTTATTTCGTCATTCATTATTATTATTATTTTATCCATTTTTATAATTATTATTATTACATTCATCATGTTATAATTTTGTCGATAGATTTTGATTACCCCCCAAGTTTATAAATTTTGGAAAATTTTGAATGCTACCAAATAGCACTGTATCGCCAGATATCCCATTTTTTGCTACATTTTTAACTTTTCGCTAGAAAATATAATAATAAACTTACAAACTTACTTTGCAAAAACACAATATCACGATAACTTGTTTTGCGACAATTTTATAGAAATAATGCCTACTTTGATAAACAAATTCACCAAGTCTGTTTGTTATTGCTCAACACTTAAAATTTTGAATATTCCTTTTCAAATGTGATACATATGAAATTAAATTATCGAAATGAACTGAAAGAGAAAATATTTCAGATAGAAGTAACATTTGAAATTTGGACAGAACTAATGAACCGTTGAACTCCATTAACATTTGTACTCGAGATGCTGACTGAATCATAAAAAAAATTTTAAATAATTTAATTACCATACCGTGAGCCCGTCAGCAGCGTCGCAATGCGCAATTTGACTAATAAAAAAACCATGCTTTTTGTATAGCGTGGGGAGGGGGAATGCCGTGTTATTATCCACAAAGAGTATCAGGAAAAAGACAAGAACCCTCGATACCGGCTGGATTTTGTACGGATTCGAGTGTGATCTTTTGCCACACCCACCATATAGCCCCGACATCGCTCTTTCGGACTTCTACCTTTTTTTACACCTGTAGCTACATCTTGCTGGTGCTATCCTCCATTCTGCACAGGATGTCTAAAATGAGGTTGATCTGTTTTAGGACTCGAGGCCACCAAGTTTCTGAAAATTTACCAAAAGCTCGGCAGAAAATCATAGATTTGGGTGGTGGTTACTACCCGCAGTAAAGGTACAGCTTTCGTGTTTTCCCCCCTAGCTTTATTAAGAGCATTTTTTTGCCGAAAACTTTCAACCAGATATTACTGAAAATAATACTAAAAAGGAAATAAGATTAGTAACAAATGGGATCGTTTATGAGAAGATAAAATGCTAGCATACATAAGAGTGCACTTGATATCAAACAAATCACTGAAATTATATCGTTTTTGAACAGATAATGACTTTGAACCAGGGATAAATCAGCGAGGCATGTAGTTTAGCATCTATAATTGTCTCATCATATTTCGGATAATTTTCCTCATTGTATTTGTGGAGTGAAATATGGCGCAATGATTGGCGGAATAAAAAATTTTATTACAAAAGGAGTTTAAAGCTTAACTGTTTAGTGTCTCTCTTCAAGTTTAGTCTCTCTTCTGTTTAGTCCATTTAAAACACGCAGATATTAAATTAATAAATGAAGTTCATTTATTTAGGGTATTTTTAGCTAAAAATTTAAACATTCAGTTAACAATATATGTTTGCGATCAGTGTATTTTAGTCCAGTCCTAAAAAGAACAATATAGGACATATGAATTATGTTAAATGTTTTTTTTAAATAAATACAGTAGTGTCTATTTAATTCTAACAAAGTAAAATTGTCAAATTTTAAACAGTTGTTTTACTGTAACAGGGATTTGTAATTTTTTTTTTTTTTTTTTTTTTTTTTTTTTTTTTTTTTTGTTTACAAAGAATTATCTACAGCCAGCTAAAAAATGATCTTCTGCTATTCAAAGCTTTTCCTTATTGACAATTTTCCGAAATTATTTCAAACATTTCTGGCAACTATACAGCAAGAAGCATACAGACTTAAGCATAAACTTCAAATATACATAAAATATGTAGATTAGGAAATATGGGTAAAATTGTAAATTTTTGACCTAAAGAATTCCTGAATCCTAAAAGACTCTTCGATGTCTTGAATGTTTCGACTCTCGGATCCCTCAAAACATTCACATAAAAAGAAAAGAATAAAAAAAAAACCTGATGTGTACACCACATAACTTCCTTATACGGAATACTAAATTATACGCATTTTTTCCTACATTTCATTTAAACTTGTTAAATTGAATTAAATCTACTTCGTCGATAGCGCATAAACCACAGTTGGATAAATGCACACTTTAAAATTCACTATATTTATTTACCATAGCGACACTCTGGCTTTAGGTTCACTTAACAATGTTACATCTCATTCATTTTATAACTCAGAATGCACAAAAACTATAGCATCTGAAGAATTATCTAATCGTTGCCACATGTTCTGTTCTAATACTATAATGAATCTAAAGCAATGTATAAAAGAAATTAAGCAAAATAAAAGAAGATATATAGCATATATTATATATAATGTTCCGCTAGCTCCTTTTACACCAGATACTGGTTCTTATGAGAAAAGGAGTGAGCCAATATAAAAGCAGTTCCAAAGTTTAAAAGCCTAAGATAATTAGTATATGGTTTCCGATATTTTTGCAAAGATCAACCCGTCATTTTTTAACAGATTAGAATGAATACCTTTAGGATTTACAACCATATACTGTGTTTCAGATTGTTCAACAAGAGATTATGATTTTTTTCATGTGTAATGTAAATTTCTGTTAAAAAATTTATTCCAAGATATTTCTGGTCTCGTTCCCTAAATTTTCTCAATGATTATGATGCCCGGACAACAGTATCTTGCAATGTTACAGAAGTGCATTGTGTTGCATATTCCTAAAGGAATAAGTTTTAACAAAAGAGGATGGTTTCCCTGTTATTACTTCCTTGTACGAAGTGAAAAGGAAGTATTGTAATCGCGAAAAGTTTCAGACAGCCTATTTCAACGAAAATATCCATTTTGACTACTTTCGAATGCAATTTAACGATGTTTTTGCGTGATATCTGTACATAAGGACAGAATAAAAGACTCTTTTCCTCCAAAAAAATTATAAAACTGCTTTAAAATGAATTCTGAAGAGAATTTTGTTTGGCGTCTGTACGAACGTAGTATGTACGTAAGTACGTATCTCGCATAACTCAAAAACGAGTAGCCTCAGAATATTGAAATTTTGTATATAGGACTACTATAACATGTAGATGTGCACATCGTATTTTGGTTGCAATCGGCCGCACCAAACGTATATAAATATATTATATATATATATATATATATCCACTCTGTTACCCGGCTCAGTGATCTCAGTTTCTTTACTATTATATGTTTGTAAATTGTATATTTTTTGCTTTAAAAATGATTGAATTATGTTGTTCTAATCTTCCGGTTAGGGTTTTTATCCCTTTAGTAAAACTGTATGAAATAGTTTTAGAATTATCAACAATTTTAAATTTGTTTAAGTGCCACTAAACCTAATAATTTTTTTTTGATGGCGGCCATTGCTTGTTTACATTTGAAACAGCAGACTAGTGTATTTGTTGCCAATCTAGAGAAACGTAGCTTCGCAACAACAAAGATAACGCCTTCATTTATTATTGCGAATTAAATCATGCTTAATCCTTTCTGGAATTGTTTCGACGAAATAAGTGTTTAAGATTTACCTCGTAATTTTTAATACAGATATTTTAAGTTTTTATGTATTTTTGCCTTGTCGCGAAGTGAGAACTGAATTAAATGAATGTGAAATACTGAATCGTCTGTTAAAAAAAAAAAAAAAAAAAAAAAAAAAGTTTCTTTTTTGTTTTGTTTGCTTAATTTGTTTTTTACATCGTTCTAGCTTTATTATAGTATTTGAATAGAACATGTGGTAACGTTTAGATAATTCTTTAAATGATATAAATTTTGTGCATTCTGAGTTATAATATGAATGAAATATAATACTGTTAAGTGAACCTAGCTCCAGAGTGTCGCTATGGTAAACAAATAGAGTGAATTTTAAAGAATGCATTTCTTCTATTGTGGTTTATGCGCTGTCGGCGAAGTAGATTTAATTCAATCCAATAAGTTTAAACGAAGTGCAATTAAAAATGCGTATAATTTAATACTCCGTACAAGGAAGTCATGTGGTGTACACATCAGATTTTTTCCTAATGCAAATACGAGCCAATTTTTCCTTTAAAACTTCCCTGTAAAAGCATCCATCCCTGTGTTTTGAATTGCTTAATTAATAAAGTCCGAACTCCAGTCCTGCTCACTTGGGAAGTATGTTCACACATTCGTGAATGATATTCTTATTTCAGGATGAAGTAGATGAAGATTAGGTCTATTGCATCTGCAGCTCGTTAGATATTACGTCATGTAATGTTTGCTTATAGGATTTATCTCATTAATGATAAAGTTTGTTATCAAGTGCTTTAACATGAAGTAAAATTGTCTCTAATAAAGTTTATTGTATTTGGAAGAACACGTATCACTAGTAAATTGTTTAAGTTCAGATTGTATGGTAATTTTTACAAAGCTTCTAAGATTAAAACCTTAACTAATATAAATTTGCACAAGGAAGAACGAAAGATACGAAGATAAAGTATAAAAAGGCAAAACCAACTTGATTTTTATGTCATCTTAAGTTATTGTCTTACGCAATAAGAAAAATGAAAAGAAAATCGACAATATATTAAGTCTCGTGTCAAACACCACACACCGCGGAACATTACAGGCGCGAGAGTCATTCGAACATAACTTTCTATTTTTTCAGCATTCTTGTTTCATGCAACTTCGGAAAACCTCGAGGACAGGAATAGTGCCGTGTATGTGGTGCTCAATTTCGATATAAAAAAAAAGGATTATTGCTTTCAGGTATGTTCTCGCTTCAGTTAAGAGTTAAATAATTTAAACCTTGATACATGCATAACTTAATGATGCCCAGCTCTAATACTGAATTCTTCACTCGTACTTTTGCATTCTAAATATTATTAAGTGTATTATTATCAGACAAGCTTTCGGTATTTTATCTGCTGATTAATATTTGTTCGATATTTAATCTCTAGTGATATATTTTTATTTAATATTTTTGTGTTATAAGGTAGTGACTCAGCCGTTTAGAAAAATAATGAAATACATTTCCCTCGGGAAAGATAAAACAAAAAGAATTTCAAACTTTGTATTTATTTCCAGTTTAAAACAGAAGTTGTGTAACCATTTTATCTGAATTTTACTTAGACATTTAACACTCTTATCTAATTTACGTTTTGAAAATGTATGGATTATATTCTATTATAACGAAACTCTAAAATGTCCAACAAAAATTATGCCAAAAGATTAGCAAAAATTCCACCTCCTTTTTATAGTTTAAAAGTAAAGTTTTTGGAACATTTTAACCAAATTTTATTTTTTTTTCGCTTGTTTTTAACCTATTCAACTTTTCGCATGATTTGGATTTACATTGTCTTTTTGGGCTAATTAGTTCTAAATTGCAATAGAACTCCAAATATCTATATTAACTGTGACCGCAAATCATAGAAATATAAATAAATTCGGATTTAATGGAGTTTAATTCCATTAAAGTAAAATACATTTACTGCAATTCAAGTAAAAAAATATATATATATTTTCGTTATTTTTTCGTTAATCCTATTTCTTTCCAACAAAGATTATAAATTTTAAAAAAGGAACATATTTTTATTTCTGTAAACCAAAATATAGAAAACATTATTTTTTATTTTTCTAAAAACACAATACATTATTATTGATCATTTCTTTTTAATTTAAAAAAGACCAAAAATTTTGTCAAAGCGATGATTCGCGAATTGAATAAAAAACAACAGGTCTATTTGCAGCACGAAACTGGTTTTTCACTAATATTACTGGCTTATATTTGTCGAATACTGTAAGTCAACTTTACATGGCATAAGCATTTACCTAAATTAATTTGAAAGCTTATCGAAAACTTGTATTATGCTATATTATTATTTTTTTATTATTTAAATTAACGGAAATATTAAAAGCATGTAAATAATTTAAAACAAGCTTAACTTTACTTAGCTTAAAGAAAGAATGAGCGATACGGATAGCTGGAATTTTAGACATTTTAGACATCTGGACATCATTTTAAAACTATTTTAATTTTAAAATATATTTTGCTTTTATACTGTAGTTTACGTCACTAGAAAACTGCACACCTCGTGTAATGTTTTTTTTCAAAATTACGTTTTTTTAATTCAGTCTGATCCCGAGTTTCTAAACTTGTTTTGCAACGACCCCTTTTAAAAAAATGGCTTCCTTCATCGACCCCCCCCTCGCATTTTGCTCTACAATATATAACATAATCATAATATACTTTGCACGTTACAAGGTAGCTCTCCCGCCTTCCTAGCATGCCTTCGTGGTGTAATGGTGAGCACACTAGGCGCGTATTCGAGAGGTCCGAAGATCGAGTCCTGGCGAGTGCACTGCTCATTTTTCATGTCTCCTGCTTACAAAATAGCCTAATGTCTCTACAGTGGCACCCGAACTAAAACAAAGGTTGTGGATGATGATTCTTCACTACCGGGATTTGGCGATTGGGTCCCGTAATCCCAGTGGCTCTTTAAAAGGGGGATTATGTAAAGTATTTCTCCCACCTTTTTAGCATGTCTTTGTGGTGTAGTGGTGGACACACTCGGCGCGTATTCGAGAGGTTCAACTCCCGACGAGGGCATTGCTCATTTTTCATATCTCCTGCTACCAAAATAACCTCTATGATCAAAATGTCTCTACGACGTAAATAATTTTAACAGTTAGATTAAGATTGTGAACAAAAGTTTTGAAAAGAAAAGGCTTATTAGATTTACATTTTATTAATTTTGTATGATGGTTATATTATTATTAATTTTGAAAGTATAATCAAGTTTCAGAAGCAAAAAATCATAGATTCTAATTGCACAGAAATTATATTTGCGGCTAATAAATTCATGCAATTTTTTAATATTTAGTATAAAATACTTAACTTTATTCTTAAATACCTTTGCACAAACATATTCAACCTGCATCCTATTTTCCGTAATAAATTATAGATATGACTAAAACCTATTTCCTCAAGTTGCGAAGAGAGAATGAATGTCAATAATGTTTTATTTTGAGGTATTTCTCACGAGTGGCTTTTAAGTTCGAAAACCTTGGCGCGCCTATGTGTTTTGAATGAGACTTATTCTTGAGTATCCTCCTTCAATACAATCAGCTCATTTTGCATCATACAGCATATTTTTGGTTGTGTTTTCTTGAGTTCCTTCGTCTTTGTATTGCACATATTGCATACAAATTTTTGTTTTTTAAAAAATATTACTGAATTAAAAATATGTCAAGGAGTTTTTGTGTGCTCTCTCCATTATATATATTTCATGTGATTTTCTCCGTATTATTTTGCATCACTAAACAAATAATTATTAATTTTATAATAAAATTAATAATTATTTGTTTATTAATAATTATTTGTTATTAATTTTATAATTTTATAAACTTTTGTACATTAATAAAGTGTATTATAAAGTCAAAAGAAATGCAACAAAAATGTGTCCGAGGTTCGAATCCCGCGAACGGGCTGGCTGCATGGGTGTTTTCGTGGTTTTCCCCAGGTGTAACGTGTATACGAGCCAGTTTCCCTTAGAAAGTCCTACACGAAGGCATTCCTCCTCTTAGGCAGATAGCCCTAGTGTGCTTTGCCATGATTAAATACACCAAAAAAAAACACCACCTAAAGGCCTCTTTATAAAATTACTTTAATTCATAATCAGTGAAATTTTGAAGGCGAATTTTAAAATTTATGTTCTCTGAATTAACTAGCCATGTTTCATCAAATTGTTAAATAGAATTCGAATATAATAACTGCAGCCAGATATAATTTATAATTCAGGTCTTCAGATTTTTTAATTAATGAATTAATAAAAATATATTTGTTATAACAAAATACAGTGACTTCTACACTTAAAAAAATTACGAGTCAATAAAAACAGTGAATTTCCATAAAGCAGATAAAATTAAGAAATAATAATTCAGTAGCTTCCATAGCTCTACACAGCATATTTTGTACCATTTTTATGCATAGATTTTTGTTTTCGTTGTTTTTATTGTTCATTTTATAATAAGCCCCAATTATATCAGTAAAGTTTCAACTATCCTAGGCAAATAGGATCAGGATGGCTTCCGATAATTATTTGTTTGTGTAATTTATTTTGGTACTTAAATAATATTTTTCTACTTATAATATTTTTATACTAAAATAATTCATGTAATATACCATATTACATGAATTATTTTAGCTACGTTTGCTTTCAAACATTTAATATTTAATTTCAGTGTTATTGGGAAAGGGAGAAGTCAGATATTACACACAAAAACAGTCGGTGATATCAAAATTAAATTATACTTCATTGTATTTTTCAAGAAAAAAAATTTAATTTTTGTAACAAATACCGTAATTGTTGATCTCCCTAGGTTTGGCGATTAATACATTTACTTTCCACTTTTTAAAACGCTTGATCATTCTAAATTTTTCTTCAATTTAATATAGTAATTCACCTGCTCCTTGACATCAGAGGCCCACCAGCGGCCGAGCGGTAAAGACTCTGAACAGTGGTAGTGCGGTCTGAGGTTCGAATCCCGCGAACGGGCTGGCTGCATGGGCGTTTTCGTGGTTTTCCCCATGTGTAACGTGTATACGAGCCAGTTTCCCTTAGAAAGTCCTCCACGAAGGCATCCCTCCCTTTAGGAAGATAGCCCTCGTGGGCTTTGCCATAATGGAATAATCCAATCCAATCCTTGATATCAGAATTATAAATCAATAATACAGAAGTTTTTAGAAATACTTTTTCACGATATTTTGCACAAACTCGTCAGTACTAATTACTATATTGTTAATTATACTAATTAATACTGATATGTTGGTAGTAATTAATGTAATTAGTAAGATTTGGTACAAATTTCTGAATATCAGAGTGCTAACTCCTTTATTAGGTATACTGCGCAAAAAAAATTGGACAGTTCTATATCTCTCGCTCTATTTGAAATTTCAGTTTTAGTGTTTTCCTCAAATTCTAGCAGATTTCTTTCTTTTCTGTCCGAATTCGCGTCTCGGTGAACTTCATTTAGGTTTTGGTTGAAATGAATATGAATAATATGCAATTTGTCTACCAAGATTTAGGACAAAATTCCATACGAAACCGAAAGCTGTAGATAAATATATTATAAATAAAAATATCAGACAGGGTTTCTCAAATACGAAACTTATAGTTTTATGAGTAGCTTATGGAACGTAAATATAATATAAAACTTATTGTCCCTTAAAATCCCTGAAGCTATTGGAATGAAATAATTAACTGGAAATCCACAGGTATTATTTAAGAGGCTGTGTAACAATTTTACTATGGATGGTTGTTAACTTTCATAATGTTATACCATACTAAAAAATGAGAAAGACTTTTTAATTTAAAGTACTTGTAAACATTTCTTTAACAGAAAGTGTATTTAAAAATATAAATATAATGTAATAATTTACAGTTACCTGTAATGCATAGGTGAGCCCCTCGAAATTCCTTAAAATTAAAGGAATTAAGAATTTAAAGGAATTAACTGATAATTTTATTACTGATTTCTTTTTACTTCCTTATGCGAAGTAAAGGAAGGATTGTAATAACGGAAAATTCCAGGTACTTTATTTTAACGAAATAACCCATTTTTGACAGCTATCGAATGCAATTTAACTATCGTTTTTGCTTGACATCTGTAAGTAAGGACAGAATAAATGACTCTTTTCTCCAAACGACTTATAAAACTGATCAAAAATGCGTTCCAAAAAGATTTTTTTTCGTGGCGTCTGTACGTAC